CGATCGCGGGCACGCGAATTACCAGCGTGGACTCTACGTGGCACCGCGCCAGCGTGCTTGTCACGCGGCGCGCTCTGGTTCGTCGGAGTTTCTGACTGAGCGGTCCTATGTGGTATATTTTTTCTAAATTACGTTTTGACTCCCAGTTTCTTATTTTTCTTTCAGAAACACCCCCAGAACCCAAAATTTCACCTATTTTTCCTAAAATTATTTTCAATTTCATCATCCACCTATTTTGTCCTAATTTTTATATTAAATAAAAATTCATAAATTAAAAAATTAAATTTTATACATTAATTTTAATTTTTTAAAAAAATTAATTTAGGATACTGGTCCCTCAAATTTGTCTCTCTCTCACTCAATCAAATAGTTGGGGATACTAGACTCTGAAGTTTAATTCTACCTCCCATATAGCCTCTCTGTGTATGTGATTCTGCCATAGGAACTTAACAAAGAAAATTTTCCAGTTGCGAAGTACTCTGCTCTTTCGGTCTATAATATCGATTGGTACCTTCTCGTAGCACAGATCCTCATAGAGTGAAAGAGGCTAGTGGACCAAAACATGATAGGGGTCCGGGTTGTACTTGCGTAACATAGATGCATGAAATACATTATGGATCCTGAAAAGTTATAGAGGCAGTACCAGTCTATAGGCGGCGGTGCCAATTCTGTCTCAGATTTTAAATGGCCAAATAAACTGGGGATTTAATTTTTCCTTCTTGCTAAACCTACTGATTCCCTTGAATGGAGTGATCTTAAGGAACACCCGATCACCTTTCTCAAATTTTAAATCCCTCATCTGGGTATCCGCATAACTCTTCTACCAGCTATGAGCCGTCTAGATGTTCTTCCTGATCTTAACTATTTTGGTTGTAGTTTCCTCCACAAGATCTAGACCAAACAATCTTCTATCACCCACCTATTTTCAATAAATTGGTGCTCTGCATGGGCGGTCATACAACGCCTCGTACGGAGCTATGTCGATACTTGCTTGATAACTATTATTGTAAGCGAACTCTATTATGGGTAAATGATCATCGCAATGACACCAGAAGTCAAGAAGACAAGCTTAGAGCATATCTTCCAGTATGCGAATTGTCCTTTCTGATTGTCCATCGGTCTGATGATGGAATGCAGTACTAAGGGACAGTTTCATTTCTATATCTTGCTGAAAACTAGACCAGAATTGAGAAGTGAACCTGGGGTCTCTGTCGGGCACTACTGTCACTATCACTCCATATAATCTGACTATCTCTTGGATGTACATTCTTGTTAGCTTGTCCAAAGGGTCAGTCGTCTTGATGGCCAATAAGTGGGAAGACTTTGTGAGCTGGTCAACAGTTACCCAAATAGTATCATGTCCTGAGTGTGCCATAGGCAATCCTGTCACGAAATCTATTGTGATATGTTCCCACTTCCACTATGA